GGGGGGGGGGGGGGGGGGGGGGGGGGGGGGGGGGGGGGGAGTGTTGGTCCCGTCGTTGCTGGCGCTGCTATGAACCTGCGCGAATAAACTATTCCTTCCCTGAAGAGCTGGCTTGCGTGTCCTGTTTTTTCTACAACAAGGGTGGTCACCAAGACCGATGTGAAGGTGCACAAACACAAACACACACACGTACAGGGGGCAGATCTAATGGCGTGCCCAATCAAGCTCACTAAAAATGAATCCGTTCCACCCCTCAGGAACTTTGCCAGAGAAAAGAACAGGACGGTCCTGGTTGTTCTTAACCAAGTGACTGTTTGAATACGCAGGAAAAGCACAGCAATGTTTTTGTTCTCCAAAATGCCCCGTTTAACTCACCTCCGCCCTCTGATAGCGCTGGCTGTTTTTGATCAGTCCTGTGAGAATGGGAACAAGCTGCAAGAAAAGACACGACGGATTCATTGGAACTGCGGCTCTTTTTTGTCCTCAGGTGGGGGGAACTAAGGTCTCTCTCTCTCTTTCCCCCTCCCCCACAGCTCTACTGCAAGATAAAACTGATCAGAGCTCAATTATTCCTTCATTCAAGAAACATCAAGGGCTGCCAACTCCACGACTCCTTTGCACCAACCGCTTTGCTTTATCCTTCAGTGAAGAGGAAGATTGGTTCTAGAATAAGGAACTCTCGTTGTCGTCCAGGCTCATATAATTTTACCTTCTTGACATTTTCATCTGTTAAGCAATCAGTGAAGACAACGTGCTGCAAACCTTGCTGTTCCAAAAGTTCCAGAATTCTCTAAAAGCAGATCAGAGATTCGTAGGAAGCATTAGTGCTGTTGTTATAATTTAGATCCTTCATAGCCACCCAGGCTAACTAAATGTATTAGTAAGGCAAGAGGCTGATTAATCAATAAAGTAATCAACAAGACAAGATGAAGAAGCGAAGGCAAAAGCAGATCTGAAGTCAGACACAAATAACAAGAGCAAGAGTTCAAATTCCCTGCTGTAAAGTTAGCATGAATTGTTTGACAGGACCAACATTCTAACAAGCAATCCAAACTAAAAGGACTATTTCCCATCCTACATAACCTTAATTGGACCCTTATTTCCCAAACTCTGGTCCAGAGTCTAGGAAAGAGGAAAAACCGCCAAGACTCCCCACTCACCGACTTGTGGGTCAGATCTGCCAAATCCATTTTATTCAACACCAGCAAATGTGGGCGGATCCCCAGGACCTCATTCAAGGCAGGATTCCGGCCGGAAAGTGGAATGTGCATGTGCTAAGGAAGCAAAGACCCGGAATCCAGATGCACAGCGGGGAGCACAGATTTACTACCTGCACCATGAAGACTGGGAGGGGAAGGCAGCCTGGGAGCCCGACTTCTATCATCATCCTCAAATTCAAAACTTAGGAAGGAGGTCAGAGGAAATTATAGGCTGGCCACCTTAATTAGTCTGTTCCAAAGGAAGTGGTGGAAATGGGAGTCAATGGAAGAAAGCAAGGCCTGCAATCCTACTGAAGAACAGAGTTTCTTTGAAGAAAATCAGCCTGGATCTTACAAAGGTAAATCCTGCCTCACCAACATAAAAAGCTGGGGAAACCGTGAAAAGGGGCAACCAGTGTCTCTAAAAGCAAAAGGCTGGACTGTGAGCCCATACGCAGAGTCTCCTTTCCCAGCAATAAGGCTATGATTTACCAGGGACCTCTTCTCCCGACCTGGCTTCTGCCTCACGGTCACCCTGGGAGTGGAGGAAGGTTTTATCCCATGTGGACAATGCAGGGTATCTGGGAGAGGCAGAGGGAGGTGATGCCGGTGGGGAAGCTCGGCTCCCATCGCAGGGCTGCCCCTTTGGTGGCTGTTCTGCAGCTGAGAGGCAATCCAGAGCAGATGCTGCCGGTCTCCCTTGCAGGCAGAGCAATGGGGGAGGAGAGGGAGCCCCCCCCTGCCCCCTTCCAGGCACAGGAGGCCCCCAGAGGGTCTGCGAGCAGAGACTTCCGGGCTCCCGTGTGCCTCCCAAGAGGCAGCCTTGGGATCCTAGGGCTGGAAGGGGCCCGGGAGGTCCTCTAGTCCAGCCCCAAAGCCAGGAGCCCTTGGACCAGGCCAGATGAAGGGCTGCCTTGTGCCGGCATATCAGAGCCGAGGTGGCGCAGTGGTTAGGGTGCAGCACTGCAGGCCACTTCAGCTGACTGCAGTTCTGCAGTTCGGCTGTT